GCTTTCCACCAGCCTTTGTCATACCATTCGATCCACTCACAACACGCTTCATCTTTTCATACGTTTAGAGTATTTTTTCAATGTCCATACACCCTTTCCTACGTGTTGAATAAGCATTTTGCAAGGCTGACGTACCCTCTATCCTCCCCATCTTCACCATCATTTATAGCGATGTTTATCTTCCCAAACGTTTCTGTTCGACACGTTTGATAGTATCTCGACCTTTTTTGTCGGAACAGTATTTCCACGTATCTATTTGGTGGCCTTCAAGTCTAAATTCAATCGCGGGATGCATTGTATGACAATATGCATTTTCATCCTGCCTCCACTTGTTCCAGAAGCTATACACTAAGCTATACGCGGATCCAGCATGATATTGTCAGACATCCTTGTGAACATACGGGAGTGTATGATGTTGTATACATTTCGTATCCATGGGAAAAGATACCATGACGGGTTGTTTTCATGACGTGCTTGGCCCACTGGAAAAGTCGACTTGGTCCATTTGTGTATATGTTGACTGGGTTGATGTGAAAAGGCCGAGACAGTTTGAAATCATTTGGAGAGGTTTGGAAATGGTTTGTAGTGGCGTATAGATAGATGGGTAGTAAAGTTTGATTTTCGCTGTAGTGTGTTGGTGTGTGTAAAGTTTGTGAGGAAGTGTAATGTCTGAAATGGGTTTGTATGTTTGCTGTGTGTGAGTGTGCAGTGGAGGGAAGTGTGCATGAAGCGCGCCATTGGTTTAGTGGTAAAATATCTCGTTGCCATCGAGATGCCCCGGGTTCGATTCCCCGGATGGCGCATCCCTTTTGCCTCTCTCGAGGTCGATTTTTCTGTCCTTTTTTCCTATTGGTGGCTTTCCACCAGCCTTTGTCATACCATTCGATCCACTCACAACACGCTTCATCTTTTCATACGTTTAGAGTATTTTTTCAATGTCCATACACCCTTTCCTACGTGTTGAATAAGCATTTTGCAAGGCTGACGTACCCTCTATCCTCCCCATCTTCACCATCATTTATAGCGATGTTTATCTTCCCAAACGTTTCTGTTCGACACGTTTGATAGTATCTCGACCTTTTTTGTCGGAACAGTATTTCCACGTATCTATTTGGTGGCCTTCAAGTCTAAATTCAATCGCGGGATGCATTGTATGACAATATGCATTTTCATCCTGCCTCCACTTGTTCCAGAAGCTATACACTAAGCTATACGCGGATCCAGCATGATATTGTCAGACATCCTTGTGAACATACGGGAGTGTATGATGTTGTATACATTTCGTATCCATGGGAAAAGTACCCATGACGGGTTGTTTTCATGACGTGCTTGGCCCACTGGAAAAGTCGACTTGGTCCATTTGTGTATATGTTGACTGGGTTGATGTGAAAAGGCCGAGACAGTTTGAAATCATTTGGAGAGGTTTGGAAATGGTTTGTAGTGGCGTATAGATAGATGGGTAGTAAAGTTTGATTTTCGCTGTAGTGTGTTGGTGTGTGTAAAGTTTGTGAGGAAGTGTAATGTCTGAAATGGGTTTGTATGTTTGCTGTGTGTGAGTGTGCAGTGGAGGGAAGTGTGCATGAAGCGCGCCATTGGTTTAGTGGTAAAATATCTCGTTGCCATCGAGATGCCCCGGGTTCGATTCCCGGATGGCGCATCCCTTTTGCCTCTCTCGAGGTCGATTTTTCTGTCCTTTTTTCCTATTGGTGGCTTTCCACCAGCCTTTGTCATACCATTCGATCCACTCACAACACGCTTCATCTTTTCATACGTTTAGAGTATTTTTTCAATGTCCATACACCCTTTCCTACGTGTTGAATAAGCATTTTGCAAGGCTGACGTACCCTCTATCCTCCCCATCTTCACCATCATTTATAGCGATGTTTATCTTCCCAAACGTTTCTGTTCGACACGTTTGATAGTATCTCGACCTTTTTTGTCGGAACAGTATTTCCACGTATCTATTTGGTGGCCTTCAAGTCTAAATTCAATCGCGGGATGCATTGTATGACAATATGCATTTTCATCCTGCCTCCACTTGTTCCAGAAGCTATACACTAAGCTATACGCGGATCCAGCATGATATTGTCAGACATCCTTGTGAACATACGGGAGTGTATGATGTTGTATACATTTCGTATCCATGGGAAAAGATACCATGACGGGTTGTTTTCATGACGTGCTTGGCCCACTGGAAAAGTCGACTTGGTCCATTTGTGTATATGTTGACTGGGTTGATGTGAAAAGGCCGAGACAGTTTGAAATCATTTGGAGAGGTTTGGAAATGGTTTGTAGTGGCGTATAGATAGATGGGTAGTAAAGTTTGATTTTCGCTGTAGTGTGTTGGTGTGTGTAAAGTTTGTGAGGAAGTGTAATGTCTGAAATGGGTTTGTATGTTTGCTGTGTGTGAGTGTGCAGTGGAGGGAAGTGTGCATGAAGCGCGCCATTGGTTTAGTGGTAAAATATCTCGTTGCCATCGAGATGCCCCGGGTTCGATTCCCGGATGGCGCATCCCTTTTGCCTCTCTCGAGGTCGATTTTTCTGTCCTTTTTTCCTATTGGTGGCTTTCCACCAGCCTTTGTCATACCATTCGATCCACTCACAACACGCTTCATCTTTTCATACGTTTAGAGTATTTTTTCAATGTCCATACACCCTTTCCTACGTGTTGAATAAGCATTTTGCAAGGCTGACGTACCCTCTATCCTCCCCATCTTCACCATCATTTATAGCGATGTTTATCTTCCCAAACGTTTCTGTTCGACACGTTTGATAGTATCTCGACCTTTTTGTCGGAAGTATTTTCCACGTATCTATTTGGTGGCCTTCAAGTCTAAATTCAATCGCGGGATGCATTGTATGACAATATGCATTTTCATCCTGCCTCCACTTGTTCCAGAAGCTATACACTAAGCTATACGCGGATCCAGCATGATATTGTCAGACATCCTTGTGAACATACGGGAGTGTATGATGTTGTATACATTTCGTATCCATGGGAAAAGATACCATGACGGGTTGTTTTCATGACGTGCTTGGCCCACTGGAAAAGTCGACTTGGTCCATTTGTGTATATGTTGACTGGGTTGATGTGAAAAGGCCGAGACAGTTTGAAATCATTTGGAGAGGTTTGGAAATGGTTTGTAGTGGCGTATAGATAGATGGGTAGTAAAGTTTGATTTTCGCTGTAGTGTGTTGGTGTGTGTAAAGTTTGTGAGGAAGTGTAATGTCTGAAATGGGTTTGTATGTTTGCTGTGTGTGAGTGTGCAGTGGAGGGAAGTGTGCATGAAGCGCGCCATTGGTTTAGTGGTAAAATATCTCGTTGCCATCGAGATGCCCCGGGTTCGATTCCCGGATGGCGCATCCCTTTTGCCTCTCTCGAGGTCGATTTTTCTGTCCTTTTTTCCTATTGGTGGCTTTCCACCAGCCTTTGTCATACCATTCGATCCACTCACAACACGATTCATCTTTTCATACGTTTAGAGTATTTTTTCAATGTCCATACACCCTTTCCTACGTGTTGAATAAGCATTTTGCAAGGCTGACGTACCCTCTATCCTCCCCATCTTCACCATCATTTATAGCGATGTTTATCTTCCCAAACGTTTCTGTTCGACACGTTTGATAGTATCTCGACCTTTTTTGTCGGAACAGTATTTCCACGTATCTATTTGGTGGCCTTCAAGTCTAAATTCAATCGCGGGATGCATTGTATGACAATATGCATTTTCATCCTGCCTCCACTTGTTCCAGAAGCTATACACTAAGCTATACGCGGATCCAGCATGATATTGTCAGACATCCTTGTGAACATACGGGAGTGTATGATGTTGTATACATTTCGTATCCATGGGAAAAGATACCATGACGGGTTGTTTTCATGACGTGCTTGGCCCACTGGAAAAGTCGACTTGGTCCATTTGTGTATATGTTGACTGGGTTGATGTGAAAAGGCCGAGACAGTTTGAAATCATTTGGAGAGGTTTGGAAATGGTTTGTAGTGGCGTATAGATAGATGGGTAGTAAAGTTTGATTTTCGCTGTAGTGTGTTGGTGTGTGTAAAGTTTGTGAGGAAGTGTAATGTCTGAAATGGGTTTGTATGTTTGCTGTGTGTGAGTGTGCAGTGGAGGGAAGTGTGCATGAAGCGCGCCATTGGTTTAGTGGTAAAATATCTCGTTGCCATCGAGATGCCCCGGGTTCGATTCCCGGATGGCGCATCCCTTTTGCCTCTCTCGAGGTCGATTTTTCTGTCCTTTTTTCCTATTGGTGGCTTTCCACCAGCCTTTGTCATACCATTCGATCCACTCACAACACGCTTCATCTTTTCATACGTTTAGAGTATTTTTTCAATGTCCATACACCCTTTCCTACGTGTTGAATAAGCATTTTGCAAGGCTGACGTACCCTCTATCCTCCCCATCTTCACCATCATTTATAGCGATGTTTATCTTCCCAAACGTTTCTGTTCGACACGTTTGATAGTATCTCGACCTTTTTTGTCGGAACAGTATTTCCACGTATCTATTTGGTGGCCTTCAAGTCTAAATTCAATCGCGGGATGCATTGTATGACAATATGCATTTTCATCCTGCCTCCACTTGTTCCAGAAGCTATACACTAAGCTATACGCGGATCCAGCATGATATTGTCAGACATCCTTGTGAACATACGGGAGTGTATGATGTTGTATACATTTCGTATCCATGGGAAAAGATACCATGACGGGTTGTTTTCATGACGTGCTTGGCCCACTGGAAAAGTCGACTTGGTCCATTTGTGTATATGTTGACTGGGTTGATGTGAAAAGGCCGAGACAGTTTGAAATCATTTGGAGAGGTTTGGAAATGGTTTGTAGTGGCGTATAGATAGATGGGTAGTAAAGTTTGATTTTCGCTGTAGTGTGTTGGTGTGTGTAAAGTTTGTGAGGAAGTGTAATGTCTGAAATGGGTTTGTATGTTTGCTGTGTGTGAGTGTGCAGTGGAGGGAAGTGTGCATGAAGCGCGCCATTGGTTTAGTGGTAAAATATCTCGTTGCCATCGAGATGCCCCGGTTTCGATTCCCGGATGGCGCATCCCTTTTGCCTCTCTCGAGGTCGATTTTTCTGTCCTTTTTTCCTATTGGTGGCTTTCCACCAGCCTTTGTCATACCATTCGATCCACTCACAACACGCTTCATCTTTTCATACGTTTAGAGTATTTTTTCAATGTCCATACACCCTTTCCTACGTGTTGAATAAGCATTTTGCAAGGCTGACGTACCCTCTATCCTCCCCATCTTCACCATCATTTATAGCGATGTTTATCTTCCCAAACGTTTCTGTTCGACACGTTTGATAGTATCTCGACCTTTTTTGTCGGAACAGTATTTCCACGTATCTATTTGGTGGCCTTCAAGTCTAAATTCAATCGCGGGATGCATTGTATGACAATATGCATTTTCATCCTGCCTCCACTTGTTCCAGAAGCTATACACTAAGCTATACGCGGATCCAGCATGATATTGTCAGACATCCTTGTGAACATACGGGAGTGTATGATGTTGTATACATTTCGTATCCATGGGAAAAGATACCATGACGGGTTGTTTTCATGACGTGCTTGGCCCACTGGAAAAGTCGACTTGGTCCATTTGTGTATATGTTGACTGGGTTGATGTGAAAAGGCCGAGACAGTTTGAAATCATTTGGAGAGGTTTGGAAATGGTTTGTAGTGGCGTATAGATAGATGGGTAGTAAAGTTTGATTTTCGCTGTAGTGTGTTGGTGTGTGTAAAGTTTGTGAGGAAGTGTAATGTCTGAAATGGGTTTGTATGTTTGCTGTGTGTGAGTGTGCAGTGGAGGGAAGTGTGCATGAAGCGCGCCATTGGTTTAGTGGTAAAATATCTCGTTGCCATCGAGATGCCCCGGATTCGATTCCCGGATGGCGCATCCCTTTTGCCTCTCTCGAGGTCGATTTTTCTGTCCTTTTTTCCTATTGGTGGCTTTCCACCAGCCTTTGTCATACCATTCGATCCACTCACAACACGCTTCATCTTTTCATACGTTTAGAGTATTTTTTCAATGTCCATACACCCTTTCCTACGTGTTGAATAAGCATTTTGCAAGGCTGACGTACCCTCTATCCTCCCCATCTTCACCATCATTTATAGCGATGTTTATCTTCCCAAACGTTTCTGTTCGACACGTTTGATAGTATCTCGACCTTTTTTGTCGGAACAGTATTTCCACGTATCTATTTGGTGGCCTTCAAGTCTAAATTCAATCGCGGGATGCATTGTATGACAATATGCATTTTCATCCTGCCTCCACTTGTTCCAGAAGCTATACACTAAGCTATACGCGGATCCAGCATGATATTGTCAGACATCCTTGTGAACATACGGGAGTGTATGATGTTGTATACATTTCGTATCCATGGGAAAAGATACCATGACGGGTTGTTTTCATGACGTGCTTGGCCCACTGGAAAAGTCGACTTGGTCCATTTGTGTATATGTTGACTGGGTTGATGTGAAAAGGCCGAGACAGTTTGAAATCATTTGGAGAGGTTTGGAAATGGTTTGTAGTGGCGTATAGATAGATGGGTAGTAAAGTTTGATTTTCGCTGTAGTGTGTTGGTGTGTGTAAAGTTTGTGAGGAAGTGTAATGTCTGAAATGGGTTTGTATGTTTGCTGTGTGTGAGTGTGCAGTGGAGGGAAGTGTGCATGAAGCGCGCCATTGGTTTAGTGGTAAAATATCTCGTTGCCATCGAGATGCCCCGGATTCGATTCCCGGATGGCGCATCCCTTTTGCCTCTCTCTCTCTCGAGGTCGATTTTTCTGTCCTTTTTTCCTATTGGTGGCTTTCCACCAGCCTTTGTCATACCATTCGATCCACTCACAACACGCTTCATCTTTTCATACGTTTAGAGTATTTTTTCAATGTCCATACACCCTTTCCTACGTGTTGAATAAGCATTTTGCAAGGCTGACGTACCCTCTATCCTCCCCATCTTCACCATCATTTATAGCGATGTTTATCTTCCCAAACGTTTCTGTTCGACACGTTTGATAGTATCTCGACCTTTTTTGTCGGAACAGTATTTCCACGTATCTATTTGGTGGCCTTCAAGTCTAAATTCAATCGCGGGATGCATTGTATGACAATATGCATTTTCATCCTGCCTCCACTTGTTCCAGAAGCTATACACTAAGCTATACGCGGATCCAGCATGATATTGTCAGACATCCTTGTGAACATACGGGAGTGTATGATGTTGTATACATTTCGTATCCATGGGAAAAGATACCATGACGGGTTGTTTTCATGACGTGCTTGGCCCACTGGAAAAGTCGACTTGGTCCATTTGTGTATATGTTGACTGGGTTGATGTGAAAAGGCCGAGACAGTTTGAAATCATTTGGAGAGGTTTGGAAATGGTTTGTAGTGGCGTATAGATAGATGGGTAGTAAAGTTTGATTTTCGCTGTAGTGTGTTGGTGTGTGTAAAGTTTGTGAGGAAGTGTAATGTCTGAAATGGGTTTGTATGTTTGCTGTGTGTGAGTGTGCAGTGGAGGGAAGTGTGCATGAAGCGCGCCATTGGTTTAGTGGTAAAATATCTCGTTGCCATCGAGATGCCCCGGATTCGATTCCCGGATGGCGCATCCCTTTTGCCTCTCTCGAGGTCGATTTTTCTGTCCTTTTTTCCTATTGGTGGCTTTCCACCAGCCTTTGTCATACCATTCGATCCACTCACAACACGCTTCATCTTTTCATACGTTTAGAGTATTTTTTCAATGTCCATACACCCTTTCCTACGTGTTGAATAAGCATTTTGCAAGGCTGACGTACCCTCTATCCTCCCCATCTTCACCATCATTTATAGCGATGTTTATCTTCCCAAACGTTTCTGTTCGACACGTTTGATAGTATCTCGACCTTTTTTGTCGGAACAGTATTTCCACGTATCTATTTGGTGGCCTTCAAGTCTAAATTCAATCGCGGGATGCATTGTATGACAATATGCATTTTCATCCTGCCTCCACTTGTTCCAGAAGCTATACACTAAGCTATACGCGGATCCAGCATGATATTGTCAGACATCCTTGTGAACATACGGGAGTGTATGATGTTGTATACATTTCGTATCCATGGGAAAAGATACCATGACGGGTTGTTTTCATGACGTGCTTGGCCCACTGGAAAAGTCGACTTGGTCCATTTGTGTATATGTTGACTGGGTTGATGTGAAAAGGCCGAGACAGTTTGAAATCATTTGGAGAGGTTTGGAAATGGTTTGTAGTGGCGTATAGATAGATGGGTAGTAAAGTTTGATTTTCGCTGTAGTGTGTTGGTGTGTGTAAAGTTTGTGAGGAAGTGTAATGTCTGAAATGGGTTTGTATGTTTGCTGTGTGTGAGTGTGCAGTGGAGGGAAGTGTGCATGAAGCGCGCCATTGGTTTAGTGGTAAAATATCTCGTTGCCATCGAGATGCCCCGGATTCGATTCCCGGATGGCGCATCCCTTTTGCCTCTCTCGAGGTCGATTTTTCTGTCCTTTTTTCCTATTGGTGGCTTTCCACCAGCCTTTGTCATACCATTCGATCCACTCACAACACGCTTCATCTTTTCATACGTTTAGAGTATTTTTTCAATGTCCATACACCCTTTCCTACGTGTTGAATAAGCATTTTGCAAGGCTGACGTACCCTCTATCCTCCCCATCTTCACCATCATTTATAGCGATGTTTATCTTCCCAAACGTTTCTGTTCGACACGTTTGATAGTATCTCGACCTTTTTTGTCGGAACAGTATTTCCACGTATCTATTTGGTGGCCTTCAAGTCTAAATTCAATCGCGGGATGCATTGTATGACAATATGCATTTTCATCCTGCCTCCACTTGTTCCAGAAGCTATACACTAAGCTATACGCGGATCCAGCATGATATTGTCAGACATCCTTGTGAACATACGGGAGTGTATGATGTTGTATACATTTCGTATCCATGGGAAAAGATACCATGACGGGTTGTTTTCATGACGTGCTTGGCCCACTGGAAAAGTCGACTTGGTCCATTTGTGTATATGTTGACTGGGTTGATGTGAAAAGGCCGAGACAGTTTGAAATCATTTGGAGAGGTTTGGAAATGGTTTGTAGTGGCGTATAGATAGATGGGTAGTAAAGTTTGATTTTCGCTGTAGTGTGTTGGTGTGTGTAAAGTTTGTGAGGAAGTGTAATGTCTGAAATGGGTTTGTATGTTTGCTGTGTGTGAGTGTGCAGTGGAGGGAAGTGTGCATGAAGCGCGCCATTGGTTTAGTGGTAAAATATCTCGTTGCCATCGAGATGCCCCGGATTCGATTCCCGGATGGCGCATCCCTTTTGCCTCTCTCGAGGTCGATTTTTCTGTCCTTTTTTCCTATTGGTGGCTTTCCACCAGCCTTTGTCATACCATTCGATCCACTCACAACACGCTTCATCTTTTCATACGTTTAGAGTATTTTTTCAATGTCCATACACCCTTTCCTACGTGTTGAATAAGCATTTTGCAAGGCTGACGTACCCTCTATCCTCCCCATCTTCACCATCATTTATAGCGATGTTTATCTTCCCAAACGTTTCTGTTCGACACGTTTGATAGTATCTCGACCTTTTTTGTCGGAACAGTATTTCCACGTATCTATTTGGTGGCCTTCAAGTCTAAATTCAATCGCGGGATGCATTGTATGACAATATGCATTTTCATCCTGCCTCCACTTGTTCCAGAAGCTATACACTAAGCTATACGCGGATCCAGCATGATATTGTCAGACATCCTTGTGAACATACGGGAGTGTATGATGTTGTATACATTTCGTATCCATGGGAAAAGATACCATGACGGGTTGTTTTCATGACGTGCTTGGCCCACTGGAAAAGTCGACTTGGTCCATTTGTGTATATGTTGACTGGGTTGATGTGAAAAGGCCGAGACAGTTTGAAATCATTTGGAGAGGTTTGGAAATGGTTTGTAGTGGCGTATAGATAGATGGGTAGTAAAGTTTGATTTTCGCTGTAGTGTGTTGGTGTGTGTAAAGTTTGTGAGGAAGTGTAATGTCTG